AAGGTGAAGGGGGGGGGGGAGGAGGCACCGGCGGGGGACCGGGCGGAGGATGGCGAGCATGGGGCGAGGAGGACCTGGAGAGGGACGACGAGGGGCAGGGCAATGCGAGGGCGCGGGAGGAGCAGGAGGACGAGCAGCGGCTGCGCCAGGAGGAGCGGGAGGAGCAGAGGCGGGAGAGCGCCAGAGGGCGGGAGAGCGAGGCAGGGGGCGGCGGCAGGGAGCAGCCGGTCGACCGCCGCGTGGTGACGCAGGCTGGGGACCACCTGTCGGCGCGCCCAGCCGGCCCACCGCCCTCGCCGGGAGGGAGAGGGGCGGCTCTCCCTCGCCCGCCTGCTCCCCTGCTCCCCTGCTGCTCCTCCTCCTCCTCCTCCTCCTCCTCCTCCTCCTCCTCCTCCTCCTCCTCCTCCTCCTCCCTCCTCCTTCCTCCTCCTCGCCTCCTCCTCCTCCTCCTCCTCCTCCTCCTCCTCCACCTCCTCCTCCTCCTCCTCTTCCTCCTCCTCCTCCTCCTCCTCCCCCTGATCCCGTAGCCGCTCTCGTTCAAGATGTGCACTTCTCCGGTGAGCCAGGTGGCTCCCGCTGGTCCGCGGCTGGGCCCCAGTGCGTTGGCTTGCGAACCCGTTCGCCGACTGCTCGGGACGCGTGCTCCGACATCTCCCAGGGCGGCTCCATCCATCGAGGGTGTCGCAGGCACCTGCGCCATGGTGCCATGTCCGCCGCCACCTGTCACGTCTGCGGTTCTTCGCGGTCCGAGGCGGCCAACATGGGCGTGTGGCAGATGTTCATCAGCGGGGAACTGGGTTGCCCGCATTCGTTGCCAGTGTGGAAACGAGGCGCCGTTTCGAATCGGGAAGGCATCATGGGCGGCACACGGCGAGATCGGAGAAGGACAGTGAAGCAGGCCATCGCAGAAGTCTGGCAACGAGGACACAATCGAGCGATTTGTTGCGATTGAGAAGCTGTTGCGAGGTGAACCTTCGTCTCCCCCAGCCCCAGCCTGGACAAGCCAGGTGCTGTCCCGGCATGGGCTACGTCAAAGCCGGCAACGGAGCACCCAGTCAAAAAATATGACGATGCTCAATTCAGGAGAGTCAAAGTGCAGGCGCCGATTGATACGAGTCCGACCTCAAGGCGCTGCCTGGAGGCGATTAAGATGATACCAAGGCGGCCCCGAAAGTGAAGCTGCAGGAGCTCGGGGACCAGCTGAAGACAAAACACAGCCCCAAGCTGGAAAGTGAGGTCAACGAAAATGCCGAACAAGTTGCAATCATGGCGGAAGCTTTTCAGTCGAGGCGATCGCAGTCGGCAGTACTGGAGGCTCATATCACCGCTTTGGAGAGGTAGTTCAAGCGCGCGGCGGAGCTCATCGGACTAGATCGCGAAGCTCAGCAGTCCAACCCCACCATGTCGGACTTTATACAGTCGATGAGGTCCAGGCTGGTAACCTTGCGCATTCTGTGGGGTCGCCTGAATTAAAGCTGTTGCTGGATGTTCTCAAGAAGTCAATTGGGAATGCTCCTGCTGATAACAATATTTCAGTCTGAGGTCGGCAATGCTTGATTGTGGCACTGCAGGCGAGGCAACCAAGCGAAGCTTTGATGAGCTCAACGAAGAAGAACAGCGGGCCCTTATGATGCACGCAAAAGTCAAGACCCCGCGGTTTCCCAGACCTGCATGCGTGAAATGGCCAAGAAGCAGAGACGGGCTTAGCAAGCTTATCGTATGCAATTTGGTGGCTGGGCTGCAAAAAACTCGCGTCTCAGGTGCTATACTCATTGCTGTTTGAGACAGCTGAGACCCAACCCTTGTGAAACCCGAGGGACAATATTCGGCTAGAGAACGCAGCAGATGCTAGAACTGCCGCCCCCCGAGAAGGCTGATACCCAACTCACCTGGAACTCGGGAAGCGAGAATTGGCTGGAGGAGGAGGCAGGGAGCACGCCCTGAGCAGATGTTCCTTCCGGTGGTGCTGGAGGCTGTGATCATGTACAAGGTAGCCTACGTATGGTATTTCCAACGGTGGGTGGGCTTGCGGAATATGTTGCCCCAGTTGCCAGGCTCATAGCCTCCTCAGAAAGTTAAGAGTCAAGTCCAGAGGAATTTGGGAAGGGAGAGTCGGCCTGGGGGAGGGTGCAGCCAAGAGCACGCAAGAAGCAGGTGTCCCTGACAGTGCCCTGGAGGTTGCGATGACGTACATGGGGTCCCCATGTGGTATTTCCAAAGGTGGGCGGACCGCGATATGATCTTCCGCGCGGCGATGAGGGCTGCGTGGCTGTTCGCGTTTCTGGTTTGCCACCGTAGTTCCGCTGTCCTCAGATCGGGCCGGGCGAAAGGGGGGGATTGGGAAAGGGGGGGGGTACGAAATTTGTTGCATGCAGCTGGTTTCGGCTTCACCGAGGGGCCCATTCCTCGATACATAGCCGCCTCTGGCGCCGGGAGGCGCCGGGAAAATCAGCTACGTGAGCTGATTCTCAAACCCCCCCTTTGCTATCCCCCCTTTCGCCCGACCCGATAAGAACTCGAAGCAAATCAGCCAGACGCAGAGTTTGTTGACGAGGTCGAGCTGTCCAGCGCCGACGGATTGCGCAGCGCCACCGCAGAGCGAATTCAGCGTTTCGCTGCACGGGTGGCATGGGCCCAAGAGCTTGTATATCTTGACGGAGCGCGGGGTTTAGCATTCATGGGCTGCGTATCGTGGGTGGAAGCTGTGAGCCGCGCCGGGTCAAGCAGCTGCTGCGCAGCCGTCTGCGGTAGCTGTAGCGTTCGCTCCAGACGGTGATGGTATTCGTTGGTTGTGGAACGTGTTTTTTTGTTCTTGGCAGGTTATTCTGCGATGTTCTTGTTGTCCCAGGGTGGGCGCCTCGCCGCGTTCTGAATGCGCGCCTCATGGATTCGATCGGCCCAACGAGCACCAACGCGACGATATTCGCAGAAACGGGCAGGTGCATCAGTGGCGTCCGATCACCCTGCATTGTCGGAGCTGGCTAGAGCATGGGGGCGCCTGAGTTGGAGCAGTCAAGTTCTCCACAGCTAGCCAATGTGAACATGGCAGTTCTAGCCCAAGTTACCTGCAGAGGCAGCGCGGGATCCAACAAGATCGGGTTTCATTGGCTGTCAGTGATGCTGCCGTCCAGTCTTGCTGTGGAGTAGAGGCTGGCATGAAATGGACGCGTAGGCCCCGTCGCCCAGTGGTGTTGCGCCTGGTTGACATAGCTTGCAGCATCCAGCACTTCGTGTGCATGGTCAGACCGGCGCTGTCGTCAGTGCCCGTGGCGGGACCCTTCCGTCCTCCAGCTGGCTGTAGGGAGCATCGCGTGCTATTTCTGGCTTGCTTGGGTATGGCTACTGATGAGCAGAGTGGCGCGGTAGTGGCATGGGCGTTTTTTTATTTAGGAGTGGTCTATGTTGGCTGTGGCGACCGCGAAGTGCACAGCGGGCAACGCGGGCAAGGAGCTCTCAAGGAGGCTGGAGCTTCTGGACGTAATCTCTCGCCGAGGTGGACCGGGGCCAGCTACGCGATCAAAGATGGCAACGGCACCGAGGTGATCGCTGAAGGTTGGCAATGGCCAGCCAAGAGTCTGAGCGCGGTCGCACAGTCGTGTCGCGGCAACGATCACTTGGAGGATTGCTCGATCGAGATGGACAGATTCCTTCCGGCACATTATCGTGGTCAGGGCTTTGGCTGTTGGCTCGGCAGCGCAGTGGGACAGGCTCGTGGCATTGTGAGAGCAAGACCAATGGAGGGTAGTCAGATTGAGCAGTTTGTCGATGTCATTGCTGCGGATGTCGGGGGGGCGAGGAAAGGCATGGATCAGGAGTTCAGTCAGCAATGGTCAGATTGGTGTGCTGTGTCAGCGTTGCGATGCACTCGAGCTTTTCTTCGCACTGCGGAAGTCAAAGCGCTTGCCGAACTTGCCGTATATCAATGTAAGCTGCTGTTTTCTGGCGGTCCAGTGGACATTGTCGAGGGCCGCGAGATGCTTCCCTAGAGGGCCCCATTACCAAACTTGTCAAACTCCTTCGACACCCCAGGGCGCCCCAGTAGTCCCTGAGATTCGACGTTGCAAAACAAGTGGAAGCATCGCGAAGAATCGCGGATGGGGCCCTACAGACCCCATCTTTCCAATGCATTTCTCGAGCTGGATCGATCTGTGATGGCCTGGGGTGCCGAAGCTAGGCGAACTCGTCCTTTGTGGAGAAATTGCAGGGCACGCCCCGGCTCAAAGGCGCCGCCCTCGTGGCCCAGACACCCTGGGGCCTTCAGTTGCCCAGCAGGTTCGTGTCGTGCCGACGCGGCAGCGACCCCGCCGCGGGCCGTTCAAGGGTGTGAGCCCCGCCGGTAACCCAGAGTCGGCGAATGTGAAACGAGCTGGCGATCGAAAAGCCGCCGCTGGCTCAAGGTTGAGCCGTCCACGCCGGGGCCGCAACAACGCGAGCCCGCCGCAGCAGCAATGCGGCGCGCGGCGGCGGCCGCGGTGCTCGCGGCGCTGGCGCGCTCCACGGCGCCCTCGGCCCAGGCCCGGGGCGCGCCAGCTGGCGCGGCGCTGCTGCTGTGGGGGGCGGCCCTGGCTACGCGCAAAAGTGACCCTTCGCTGGAATGACTTCTTGGTGCGGGCCCACAGAGGGCCCCAGTGGCCCAGGATAGCGCGCCAGGATGGCGTGGGCTGGGCCTCTTTCGCAGCCCCCAGAAGACGCGCTCCACTGGTCGCTCCCTGCCTGGGGTCACTCAGAGCTTGTTTTTTGGAGGGGGGCGCCAGCAGGTTTACTTGCACGGACGGGGGGGGGGGGCTGAGCCTGAAGCCAGACGGAAGCGACTTGCGTGTGCGGCAATCACGCACGTCGAAAGGCACTTGCGCGCTTGTATTCGTTTGAAGAAGGGCGAGAGGGGGAGGGGGCGGGTGGGGCGTACGCCATGCCACCATGCAAGTAAACTTGCCCGAGTCTGAAGAAACAGGCTCTCACGCGTGCAGCCGAGGCGGCGGCGGGCGGCGCGGCGCCCGGGGGCCACGCCCACGGCCACGCGGCGGGCCACGGCCACCAGGAGCGGGGCACCCCGCTGGAGATGCTGGCGCCGCATGCTCTCCGCAGCGGGTGGTCTTGCCTCGTTTCGGGCCCCGGGGCCACCTCAGATCGATCCGGATCGAAAGACAGGCAGCAAGATGGTGCCCAGGGCTCGAGTCGTGATTTGTCGCTGTGGCTTGTTGCAGGTTTGTCGCAACATCGGATCTCAGGGCCCTCCTGGGAGCAGAAGTTCGGAGAGGGGAGGCGCGCC